GTTTTATTGTTCAAAGTAAAATATGCTATGTATATTTCTGCTTATACCATCAATTTTGATTAGAATAATTGATAATGAATATCGTCATGAGTGAAATCAAGAGTATCGACTTGCTACAATCTGATGAGATAGATCTGAGACACTTACAGATATAAAAACTCGCAGTACTATTTATTTTATAAACAAAGCATAGATATTAAAATTATTTTGAGATTCGTTTTTGTTAACATTGTAACTGAATGAGATAATAAATCCTAATGTGTAGTTTAAGGCACATTTTAATATCAATAAAACTTAGATAACTATTGTGAACCATTAGACTATACTGAATGTTCAAGATTAAAATATAGTATTTAGTCTTTATTCAAATACACTTAAATTATTAGCATGTTTGATTGTAAACAATGTTATCTAAAGAGTCATTGTCTTTTCTGTAAAACAAGTTCTTTCTCATTTTTGAAATGTACGTAGAATCCTGATTCATTCGAGAACGATTCTATCCAGATATATCCAATATACATTAGGAAATGACATTCTATCTAATGAATAGACACTATAAAATTTTTAAATTAAACAACTACAAAAGATCTTATATCCGCAGGAAATCATGATTACTTTTTTCTCAATGTTTCAAAACAAAAAATAATGGAATTGCAATCCTTTGTCAAAACGTGATATATACATAACGACAGAATTAAAATAAAATCTTCAGACTACAGAAAACATTTTTATAAAGTCATCATGAGCTCTTCAGCAATTAGTAATATCTCTCTTTTCACCCAAAAATATACATTCTATACTAGTCTTATTATATTTTGTATTGGATTTATTGGAAATTTAATCAATATTCTTATTTTTACTACATTAAAACTCTTTCGAAATAATCCATCTATACTCTACTTTACAGCTGAATCAATTGCAAATACAATACAATTAATCTTATTTTTTCTTATGAATATTTTAATACAGGTCAATGAAACTGATCCAGCTAATTTATCACTTTTCTGGTGTAAATTTCGTGGTATGATGATTTCATTATGTACACTTGTCTCATTTTCTACAATATGTTTTTCTGCTTCTCATCAATATCTTTCTACAAGTCATCACTTCTATTTAAGACAATTATCTACAGTTAAATTAGCAAGATTTCTTATATTGACATCAGTTATTATTTCAATGTTACAAACCATACCATTTGGTATATTTATCGAAATCCAAGCATCTGTTTGTGCTATATTCAATCAAAATATGTTGAATTATATATCTTACTTTTATTATCCAGTTCTATCTGGACTTTTACCTGTTCTTATTGCATCAGCATTTAGTATTTTAGCATATAATAATGTTCGACGAATAGTTCGAAAACAAATGCCAGTAGTTCGACGAAGACTTGATCAACAATTAACCGCAATGATCCTTATTCGTATCATAGTATTTATTGTTTTAACATTACCATATGATATTCAAAGAATGTATACATATATTGCAAAAGTCGATCAATCAAATCAACTTTATTATGCAATCATCAATCTCATTGGATCAATTTTAGTAACATTGTTTAATTTAAACTATGCAGTAAGATATTACAGATGATTTACATTTTTAAATATGATTGTTTATAGGTATCTTTTTACGTATTTCTCACAACATCTGTACGATTTCGTCGACAAGTGAAACGTGTTCTAGTGAAGAAATGTTGGGGACAATGCAAACGATGTTTTTTTAATAATAACAATAAAGTTCATCCATTTGGCATGAGAGGGTCACTTACTTCTAGTGTAGTGGTACAATAAAAATATTGGACATCAAATTTTACTGAAAACATTTGTACGTCTTCTTTTAATACTTAATCTATTCTATTGTTTGTAATGCGTAATATATTATTATTATTATTATTATTATATATCTCGAAATAAAATGCATAAAATATCGATAGCAATGTATTATAAATGATAGTTTTTATTGTTTAGTAGAGATCCAAAATGAAGTGATGATGATAATCATATAAAACTACCTTCTTTTGAATGATCACCTTGAAAAATTCTTATCGATCATAGTAATGTTAAAGAATATCTACTGCATATTTCCTGAAATGTTATGTGTATAGAAATAAGTAGACTCTCGTCAGTTCTGCATGTTTAAAAACTCTTCATTTCACTTTAATATCAAATTATGATGTATAATTTTTTGATATTTCAAATTGTTCAAATGTTATGGGGAGAGAAATGATCTATATACTTAAAAAACACAAACAAGCTTTAATGCTTTTGAATAAGATAAAAACAGATGATTGTATTCATGCTTATTATTAATTTCGATGAAGAAATATCTCTTAAAAGTTTCTTTTTAAGATAGTCTTCATTTAGATATTCCAATCTGGAATAACTTTATTATTTTTATGTCAAAAAACTGTCGGCTGTTAACCGCTAGATTTTGTAATCTTTTCTATTTACAAACACATTACGAGTAATATAAAATTTTCGTCTAGAATTAACATTATATTAAAAGTAAAAGTGTATTCTAATTAACATAAAGTCAATTATAAATTTTTCTAAGCCCAATCAAAGAGTATACAGTTGTTTTATTCCAGTCATATAAATACCTTAATATTTCTTCATAGAATACTTCGAAAGTATCCAACTCATTTAAATAATTAAAAATCGTCAAAGAATGGTCTATATTTATTGTTGAAGGTCTTATACATTCGCTAATGAAAACTGTAAGCTCAAGATTCTTCAGCATCAATAAATTCTTTTGAACCGACAACAATAATTAAATTATCTACTAAAAGATGCATATATATACATCTCCAAATGCCACATTTCATGGTATTATTACTGTTGTCTTTTTTGTAATAGAAGTTTATTCACAACGGCATCAAATTCAGTGTCAAAAATAAACTGTATTTATTGTTTATGACTTTCGAAAGATGATACACTTTTTTTTACATCTACAGGTATTCAAGAGAATTATATGTAAAAATGATTATAAACTATACATTGTAGTAACGTTAGATAATTAATTGCCCTGTCAAATAATCTTGTTTTTCAAAAACTTCTCAAGGAACACTCAACGAGTAAAGCCATTTGTCTGTAAAAGTATTTTCTTCTATGTCATCTACAAAATATAATATTTAATCTTGGCATAATAAAATAATTACTCTCTTGTAAAGAACAAACATGCTCTTCTCTAAGTCCTGAAGGATATATTTAAATTAATTTTATTTTTTTCAAAAGAGAGAAAAGACTAAGAAAGCGTCGTTAATAAAGACATTATTTTATTTGTACCATAATGACTTCATCCATGGCTATCGATATTCTTCATTTTACTCAACAATATTCACTCTACAGTACTTCTTTTATATTTACCATTGGTGCAATTGGAAATCTACTAAATATTCTTATTTTTACTACACTGAAACTCTTTCGAAACAATCAATGTGTTCTTTATGTTGTCACAGAATCAATCGCAAACATAATTCAATTAACTACATTTGCTCTTGTTTATCAACTTCCAACAATATATCAGACCGATCCAGCCAGTTCATCACTTTTCTGGTGTAAATTCCGAAGCATGATAATTTCCTCATGCACACTTATTTCATTTTCTACAATATGTTTTTCTGCTTCTCATCAATATCTTTCTACAAGTCATGTCTTCTACCTGAGACAATTAACCACAATCAAATTAGCCACATTTCTTATATGTACATCAGTTATCATTTCAATATTACATACTATACCATTTGGTATGTTTCTTGAAATTCGATCATCTGTTTGTGCTGTATTTAATCAGAATATGACTAATTATTTGTCTTATTTTTATTATCCAGTTCTATCTGGACTTCTACCTGTTCTTATTGCATCAGTGTTTAGTATTTTAGCATATAATAATGTTCGACGAATAGTTCGAAGACAAATACCAATAGTTCGACGAAGACTTGATCAACAGTTAACAGCAATGATACTTATTCGTGTAATAGTATTTATTATTTTGACAGTACCTTATGATATTCAAAGGATGTATACATATATTGCCAAAGTGAATCAATCAAATCTACTTTATTTTGCAATCGTTAATCTGATTGGAGCAGTTTTAGGAACATTCTTTAATCTAAACTATGCGGTGAGATAATATAAATAATTTGTGTTTTTAAATATAATTGTTTAGGCATCTTTTTATGTATTTGTGATAACATCTGCTCGATT